ATGGTTTAAGTTGCTATTAATGGAGTTTATTTGGTTTTAGCCAAAGGCATCAATTTTTTTTTTTTTTTTAAACCAGGGATTGAACCCAGAGGCACTCAACCATTGAGTTACATCCCCAGTCCTTTTTATTTTGTTTTGATATAGGATCTCGCTAAGTTGCTTAAGGCTTCACTAAGTTGCGAGGCTGGCTTTCAACTTGGGATCCTCCCTCCTCAGCCTCACTCAGATTATAGATGAGCAATACTGCACTTAACTAGCCAAATGCATTTTAACTGATAAAAGTATGTATAAAGTATTCCTATGTATTTGTGTCAACGTGGGCTTTTTTTTTCTAAGCTCTTACATTTATAATTATTTTTGGCTTTCTATTTATATGTACATGTGTGTACATATAAATAGATTGACATATCTTCTAAATAATGCTTTTATCAATTATAATATTTCTTCTTACTGCTTCTTTTAACTGTAAATTTTCTTTGGGCCAGAAACTGTATTGTATACCTGTAACCCCAGTTACTTGGGAAGCTGAGGCAGGAGGAGCTCAAGTTCAAGGCTAGGCTGAGCAATTTAATAMGACTCTATTTCAAAATAAAAATTTTAGGGCTGGGGATGTGGCTCAAGCGGTAGCGCGCTCACCTGGCATGCGTGCGGCCCGGGTTTGATCCTCAGCACTACATACCAACAAAGATGTTGTGTCCGCCGAGAACTAAAAAATAAATATTAAAAAAAAAATTCTCTCTCTCTATCTCTCTCTCGCCTCTCTCACTCTCTCTTAAAAAAAAATTTTTTTTAAAGGTTGGGGATATAGCTCAGGGGTAAAGTGCTCCTGATTTAATCACTAGTACCTGAAGGGTAGTGGAGTGGTGGGGTGATGGTGGATATTCCTCTTTGGGTGATACCAATATTTCCAGTATTGCTTTTTTTTTTTTTATTTGTGTTTGGTGTTTTATAAAATAAACTGTTTTGAGGTATATGTGTGTATATATACATATGCTTTTATGATAAAATGCACACAAACCTTACTATGTTAGCTTTATAATTGTACAATTCAGTGGCATTAATTATATTCACAGTGTTGTGCAAGTATCAACACTGTCCATTCTCAGAACTTCTTTATTATACTAAACAGAAGCTCCGTACCCATTAAACAATGAACTCTTCCAGACAAAGTGACACATACCTATAATCCCAACTAACTGGGGTGGTAGTGAGGTAGGAGGATCCTAAGTTCAAGGCCATAAACAATTTAGCAAGATCCTGTCTGAAAATAAAAAATAAAAGGGGCTGGATTTTATTTTTTAGCTCAGTGGCAGAGTACCCTGGGTTCAATCCCCAGTACTGTAAAAACAAAAACAAAAACAACTCTTCTTCCCCCAGCCCCATACCCCTGGTAACCTCCATTCTACTTTCTGTTATGAATTTGCCTAACTAGGTATTTCATAAATACTAGTCCTTCTTATCCACAGTTTCACTTTCTGTGGTTTCAGTTACCTGCTATCAGCTCTGGTCTGAAAATATTAAATGGAAAGTTCCAGAAATAAACACTTCATAAGTTTTAAATTGTGTGCTTTTCTGAGTAGCATGATGTGCTGTCCCACATCATCTTGCCTGAGTCATAAATTATCCCTCTATCCAGAATATCCATACTATATATGCTACTCTGTTAGGCACCCAGTAGGCTTCTTGGTTAGTGGTTGAAGGTAGTTGCATCCCAGTGTTTAGATAACTCGTACTTTACTTAATAATGTCCCCAAAGCACATGAGCAGTGGTGCTGGTAATTCAGATATGCTGTTAATTCAGAGAAGCTGTTAAGTGTTTCCTTAATTAGACTACATCATAAGTATGTCTGCATGGGGAAGAAAACATAGTGCTATTTGACATTTCAGACATTGACAGGGAGGTCTTGGATCATGTTTTTCGAGAGTCAAGGGGAACTGCTGTAAGCAGAATCATACAGTATTTGTACTTTGAAAAACATATTCCTTTTGTGTGGTGGARGGGGTTTGGGATTGGACCTAGGGCCTTTAGCAAGATAAGTATACACTCTACCAGTGAGCTACACTCCCAGTCTGCATTCCATCCTTCCGTCCCTCCCTTTCTGTCTTTCTTTTGGGCAGCACTGTGGATCCAACCTAGGCTTTGAACATGTTAGTCAAGTACTCCTGAGCTGTTTCCAGCCCTGCATGCTGTGTCTTTTAATGGATCATTTATTTCAGTTCAAGTTTAATATTATGTCTGATGTTCTTGTTTTTATTACTTTTATCACTCTAGCATTTATGAGGTATTATAGTTTTAGTTTTCTTTTCCTTGTTTTTGTTAATTTGAAAAGTTTACTTCTATGAATAGTTATCTTCCTGTTTCTTACTCTCAGAAGCATCCCATAGTGTTATTATTGATTGGAAGCAACATCTTATTATTTTTATGTTACTATTTTAGTTCTTTTCTATCCAAGGAAATTAAAATCTTTGGAATACTTTTCATCTTTTGCTTTTCCTTTTCACCTGCTCCATTTCTTTATTCCTTTAAAATCTTTGAAAAGCAATTATTTCCTTCTCCTGTTCCTCAACTCCAAGATTTTTCTGATATAGTTCAGCATTTACAAACAACTTTCCTTATAGCATATCCTTTTTTAAAAAGCATTTTGGCTATATATTCCAAAGAGTATGTTCTTATTCTTTATGGCCTAGCTTCATGTATTTGTTGCTCACTATTGCATCTTCCCTTTTATCTTGAATTATAATCTTTGATATAACAGTGCATGCACCTATATGGATAAATATCAGAAGCAATGCTGAGTGGAAAAATTATCTGAAAAAATTGTTATTTGATAAGAAGATTTCCATAAAGTTAAAAAATTCTCATAATACTTGGTAAAACTTGAGGGGGAAAAAAGTTCCGCTTGTTTATTTCTTAGGAGGTAGGGAGGAGGGTAAGAACAGGGAAAGGAACATAAAGAGCTTTATGGATATTGTATAATACATTCTTTGAATATAGAACATTACTTAAAATGTGTATAAAAATTGACCAGGAAATTCACCATGCTCTGTTATGTGTTTTGGRRAAAAAAAAAAAAAAAAGTGTACATTGAGAAACCTTCCTCCCTGTTGAAGCAAAGAATAACTTGGAGATTGAGAAAAAAGAACTAGGGGAAATGTACCTGATCACTCAAAAGTTCGTTAGGTAAGATTTCTTCACTCCCCAACCCRCTTAGGTAAAATTTCTAGGAAGCTCTCCAACCCCATCTTTTTTACMGCACCATTCCTCTTTTCTTATGAAACTCAAGTCACAGTTAAGCCCTTTGACATATACCAGGCATTGTTTTGAGTATGTCAGGGATACTAAGATAGGCCTGTGTGGGGTAGGCACAGGACTCCTTTGATGGGTGACTTTGGCTCCAGAACCCTTCACCAGCTTTAATCAACCTTGTTATAACCGCACTGTAGTTGCTGCCCATCTACCTTTCTTTAYTCTTACAGAGATTAGACCTACATTTTCTTGTTCACTTTCCATGCGCCTTCAAGTTATTCCCTCAATGTATCTCATATTTCTCATCCTATCTGCTTCTTGAAAGATCTAAACTAATGCAGGAGTCAGTGTGAACTGCCTAGCATATAGTAAGCCAGGACTGTGTGTATTAATATTGTTGTGGAAAACTAAATAACAGATAATGGTAACTGTGGTATTGGACATGTCCAAATCAGGGATATTTAGGAGATAGGTACAATATAGAAATATATTTAATACTAGTACATGTTCAGAAAATTAATTTAATTACCACATTATAGAGCAGGGAAACTTAGAACAAAATAGTTTGCCAAGCACACTTTCACAAATCTCTAATCTCAGCTACTCCAAAGGCTGAGGAAGGATGATCACAGGTTCAAAGCCAGCCTCAGCAATTTAGCAAGATTTTTGTCTCAAAAATAAAATATAAAAAGGACTGGAGATGGAGCTCTGGTTAAATGCTTCAGGGTTCAATCCCCACTAGTGTGGTGGGTTGGGGGAAGGATTTTAGGTTGAGGATTCATTTAATTAAAAATATATATATATAGGGGACTGGGGATATAATTCAGTTGGTAGAGTGCTTGCCTAGAATGGACAAGGCCCTGGGTTCAATCCCCAACACCACCACCACCCAAAAAAAAAAAAAAAATGTAGAGACACATACACACACACACACACACATAGGTATATATATATATATAATGGAAGCTTTGATATAAAGAATATCCCAAAAAAACCCAAAATATCTCCAGAATTATATGTTAATAACCAAATAATTTGCCTTCTGATAAAATGTCAGCTTTATAAGTTCAGTTTTTTTGTTTTTTGGTACCAAGGATTGAAACCAGGACCACTTTACCTCTGAGCCACATCCCCAGCCCTTTTTATTTATTTTGAGACAGGGTCTCACTAAGTTGCTTAGGGCCTTGATAAGTTGCTGAGGYAGACTTTGAACTTGTGATCCTTCTATCTGAGCCTCCTAAATTGCTGGGMTTATAGGTGGGTGACACCACGCCTGGCAAAGTTTTTATGTACTAATTTATGATAGCTTTTTGTTGTTTTTATTTTTGGTTTAAATTAAGGAGACAGTTGTCCCTGTAATGAATAGACAGGAGAAGCTGAGAGAGATGCTTTAATGGGTTTTAATATCTAATTTTCTTAAAAAGATAATTTATATCTGTTGTAAGGACATACTTGTTTTTGCACAAGAAAATGTTAGTAAGTTAGCTTTGGGGAGTGAGATTGAGATATGAAGATATGCCTTTATAATGAAATTTTATATAGTAAAAAAGAGAATTAAGAAGGAAAATGCAAATAAAAACAGATGTGTGTGTGTGAGACAACTTAGAGTGCTTGACTCTTGGGAATGAATTCAAGCACCATTAGCTTAATGTACCACGGTCCATGGAAGCTGGGCTATACAGATCTTAAGATAAATTTTTTTTTCTGTTCTTGTTCCATTAATAATGTCTGTTTACTTTATTATTTTTAACAGGGATGTGCATGCAGTCTGTCTCTGGGATGATAAAGGCCCAGCAAAAATTCATCAGGCTTTAAAGGAAGATATCCTTGAGTTTATTAAGCAAGCACAGGCAGTAAGTTCTGTACCTTTTTTTTTTTTTTTTTTTTTTTTTTGGTGCTGGGGTTTGAACCTAGGGCCTCTCACAGATACTAAGCATACAGTCTACTGCTGAGCTATATCCCAGCCTCAGGTTGGTTATACAACTACACAGACAATATTATATTTTGTGATTTTGAAAGTAAGAATTCCTTAATTCCAGCAGCTTTGGAGGCTGAGACAAGAGGATCATGAGTTCAAAGCCAGCCTCAGTAAAAGCAACTGTCTCTAAATGAAATACAAAATAGGGCTGGGGATGTGGCTCAGTGGTTCAGTGCCCCTGAATTCAATCCCTGGTACCTCCCAAAAAATAAAGTAAGACTTTCTGAAGTAATTTAAAATATTATATTGACTTCTGACACATCTGTTTATTTAAAAATGAAATGATTGTCATTTGTTGGATGTTTACCTCTTATTGTGATAATTTCTGTCAACAGAAATACATTATTATCTCTAATTAAAAGATGCTTTAAGGAATTTAGTTTTTTATACATTTTTTAGAAGTCTCCATTGTCATTATATTTTGGCYCTAGGTTAATCCACATAAATCTTTCTTTCATCTCATGACCTCTTTCAGGTAGATAGTAATTTTCTTCAATTCTAGATACTTCTCTGAATAAAAAATCCTGGGAGTGTCCTTTGTTTTGCTGTTGCTGCCTGAAGTCAGCATTCTTGTGTTGGTATTATGAGTAAAATTTTAATTTTACTTAAATGAGGACAAAGGTCATTTAGGCCATTGGTTCATTATACAAGCATTAATTTTGTTTTGTTTTCATTGACACCTTTGTTTTTTTGGAAAAATGAATGCAGAAGTAATGTATTATTTTGAAACAACATTAGCAAAATGAATGAATCCTTTACCACTTTGAGAAGTGGCTTAAGAACATGAAATTTTTCTTTTGTATAAAATGAAAACTAGAGGGCTAGAATTTCTTATTCTCTAGGTAAATCTTTGTCTTGTACAACATTTGTAAATGTTCTTTGTTAAAAATGTTAGTAAATACTAATAGCTGCTTAGCAATTCAAAATTAAAAACGAGTTTTTCTATATAGAACTCAAGGAAGATATTCAAATCAAGTATATGACTCGTGTATATTTAATTCTGCTGGTAGCTACTGCCATGATAGGATAAGAATGATGAGTATTATTTACAAAATTGTTTTAGTGATAATATAAATAAGTTTTTTAAGATTATAGTTTTATAGGAAATGATCTTTTAATGAAAATAAATCCTGTTTTTAAGCTTTACTTAATGAAATTAAATGTTTCAAAWCAATTTAATTAAAATTATACATAAAACTGACTTAGAAATACCTTTTCCATTTGGATTAGAAAATATGAGCTTTTCTGTTTATAACTTTGGTAAAGATAAATTATGTTTATTTCAAATTGATAGTTTTATTTGTTAGTTTCTGGAAACAGGCTAATAAAGACTCATCTTAAATTAGGTGTGATATACTTATAATCCTAGTGACTAGGGAGACTGAGGCAGAAGGATTCCATGTTTGAGGCCAACCTGGACAATTTAGCAAGACCCTCAGCAATTTAGTGATAAAACATTTATTCTCAATGGRCTGGGGTTGTGCCTCAGTGGTAGAGCACTTGTCTGGTATGTGTGAGGCCCTGGGTTCAGTTCTCAGCACCACATACAAATAAATAAATTAAATAAAGGTCCACCAATGACTAAAAAAAATATTTAAAAAAATATTTTAAAAAAATATTTATTCCAAAAGTATAAAACAAAAATGGCTGGGGATGTAGCTTAGTGGTAAAGTGCTACTGGGTTCAATCTCCGGTATGAAAAACAAACAAACAAAATCTTCTTAGATATTGTTAACRGTTGTTTAAAAATGTGGTTACTTAATACTAGCAAACAAAATATGTAAGAATTTCACTGTAACATGACCCGATAAAGTCTAGAATATGTATCTGAGGAAGGGCCGGACTCGGTGTTGCATGCCTATAATCCCAGTGACTGGGGAGGCTGAGGCAGAAAGATGCCWCGTTCAAGTCCAGCCTCAGTAATTTAGTGAGTCCTTAAGCAATTTAGCAAGACCCTGTCTCTAAATAAGAAATAAAAAGGGGTGGGGACTTGGCTCAGTGGTTAAACACCTCTAGGTTTAATCCCCAGTTATGTGCCCCTGCCCCCMAAAAATTTGGAAAAGAACTTAAGACCACTGATACAGAGCAGTTAAAACTGTAGGAATATCAATGGCAGACGTGAGTATATAATTTTAAAAGATTTTTTAACTCGAGAATATCTAGCTTTGTGATTCATTTGAACTTACCTTGTTAGGAAGAACCATATTTCCCAAATAAGAAAGGTACTATGCATTAAAATGTTTATGGCATTATTTAAAATGATGCAAAAAAGGGTCTGGATAGCTCACTGGTAGATTACCAGAGGTATATTGGGGGGGGGGTGAGGGGGTGCTAGGTGGTTTCACTAAGTTGCCTAGGTTGGTCTTTAACTCCTATCTCAAAGCAAGACAACAAAAGCAAACTGTATTTGAGAAATCATTAGGAAATTGGTTTTTTCTTTTTTTAGATTAGCATAATGACTTTATTTTGTTTTTCAATCCTGGGCATTGAACCCAGGGCCTTGCGCATGCTAGGCAAGTACTATAGCACTGGATTATTGTTCCAGCCAAAGATAATTATTTTGTTCATAATTCTGTGATTTAGTTATTTGGGCTGGCTCAACTGATTTCACCCAAGCTTCTTAATTCAGCAGTAGTTGGTTGTTGGCTCTGCAGAACCAGGTGGCCCAAGAGGGCCTACTAGTGTTTGATGCTGGTTTTCTCTTTCACCATGTAATTTCTCATTTTTCAAAGAAATCACCCTTAAAGTGAGATAAGGATCTATAAAACTTCTTCATGTCTAGGCTTGGAAATCGCGTTTTACTACTTTGACCTTTTGTTGGTCATAGCAGTTTACCAGACCAGCCTAACCACAAGCAGTGGTCAAATTGACTCCATCCCAGCTTCTTAAAATATTGAGATATATTGCCCAGCATGTGCAAGCCCCTAGGTTTGATCCCTAGCACATCCACTCCTCCCCTACCCTGCAAACTCTAAATCACTCTTCAACTTCAAATTGAGATATAATTCACATATCATAAAATTCAATGTCTTAAAAGCTTGTCATTCAAATGAGCTTTATTATAGTCACAAAGTTGGATACATCATCCACTAATTGCCACATATTTTCATCTCCCTAAAACAAAAGGCTGTACCTGTTAACAGTCACTTCCTAGTACACCTCCTTACCACTAAACCATTTCTTGTTTTCTGCCTCTGCAGATTTGCCTGTTCTTGATATTTCCTATAAAGTATCATCGTATAATATGTGACCTTTTATGACCACATTTTCACTTGGGAAAATCTTTTCAATATTCATTTTATGTTGTAATATTGATCAGTATTTTTTACTTTTTCTGGATGAATAGTATTTCATCATGTGGCTCTACCACATATAGTTTATCCATTCATCAGTTGATGGATATTTCTTCTTGTCTATTATGAATAGTGCTGCTATGAACATTTGTGTACAAGACTTTTGGGAACATGCTTTAATTGCCCTTGGATATAATACAGTTTGTGCGATAAATAAAACATTTTAAAATTATGACATGAATATGTTTTGTTCTTATTTTTCAAAGCACACTATGTTTATTTCAAATTGGTATGATTCTTTTTTTCCAGCGAGTACTGAGCCATCAAGATGACACAGCTTTGCTAAAAGCGTATATTGTTGAATGGAGAAAATTCTTTACACAATGTGATATTTTACCGAAACCTTTTTGTCAACTAGAGATTACTTTAATGGGTAAACAGGGCAGCAATAAAAAGTCAAATGTGGAAGATAGTATTGTTCGAAAGGTAAGTCAGTTTTTCCTATCGTTTTTCTGGTACTCTTTAGAAAGYGTTATTTGAAGGCATTTCAAAATAATGCAGACTTTAAGTGAGTTTTTGTTTCACATATAAATTCCTTTTTACCTCTTGTATTTTATTGAATAATGATATTTTTAATTTTTTTCTTTTATCTTTAACTTTAGTTCTCCTTCATCTTTTTATTTGGTCTTAAACTATAGATCTTTGTCTTCAAACATTATCTCCTTTGGGCTGGGGTTGTAGTGTTAAGAGAGCTTGCCTAGCATGTGTGAGGCATTGGGTTTGATCGTCAGCACCACATAAAAATAAATAAATAAATAAAGGTATTGGTCCATCTACAACTAAAAAAAWAAACATCTCGTTTGCTTTTCCTTTTTACTTTCAACTTTTTTTTACTTATTATCTTTAGTATTTAATTTTCCTGTTCTTTTTTTGTACTTTTATTTTTCTGTAAGTTATTGTTTTTAGTAATCCTTTTATTGGCTTGCTTTCTARTAAGTTTGTGTTTAATTTTTTATAAACTGCTGTCATCTTTATAATCTTATAAACTCAGTATGTATCATACTTTTATRTTTTGCATGGATTCTAATTAAAAGCACATGCCCATTAGCTCGTCATGATTTAATGGAAAGAACTCAATCTGGAAAGTGAGAAAGGTTTCCCTTGGAACTCTAAATCACTCTTCAACTTTTTGTCTTCTTTTACCAAGTATCTWCCTACTTGTGAGAATCAAAAGTAACTAGAGGTATATTTCGGGGGTGAGGGGGTGCTAGGGATTGAATTCAGGGCCTCACACATACTAAGCCCACACTTTACCACTGATCTACATCAACCAGAGAACTGAAAAGTTAAAAATGCCATTTGAACTTTAAATAACCTACTGTTTGCTGTGATGATTATTAAAACTCAGGCATTAAAATAGCATGGTCTAAAAAAAAAAGTAATAATAATATCATGGTCTAGGCATTCTTGCCTCACCCCACTCTTAAAATTTGCTTAATTTGCACAAAAAAGAAAGACACATTCAGATGCTATTTAATTTGTAATTCTGTAATCTTATCCTCTTTTATTTTACTGTTATTCCTTTATTTTTTTTGCAATTCTATATGCATTGTGGGAAGTGGCATCCCTTAAGAGCATCAATTCCGAGAACCAGAATTGGATTCAGATCCCAGTGTTGCAACTGCAAACTGCATGACTGTGGCCTTGCTCTCTCTGTCCCTTGTTCCACATAGAGAGGAGATAAGAGTGTACCTATATCAAGATGATGAAGGTTGAGTTATATGTGGAAAGTACCTAGATCAGTCCCAGATATGTAATGAATATTAATGCCTTGTGGGTTCTTTATGTTGTTGCTGCCATCACTAACATTTATTCTACACCTGACTAAATTATTCCAAGCATTAAAACATATTCACTAATGTGTATTTTTATAAACAGAACTGGGATTCAAATTCAGTTATGTCTGATTCTGAAATACTTTTTTTTTTTTTACCATTATGCTAAATATACTACTTTCCTGAAGAATGCTAAATGTGTGCCTAAGAATTTTATTTCTTTTAGTGTTCATACTAAAATATGTGTTTGTTTGGAGGTGGTATACTCATTATGTTAATAGTTGAAAATAATTCCATATTTTGTTCTTGTTTTCCTAGCTCATGCTTGATACATGGAATGAGTCAATTTTTTCAAATATAAAAAACAGACTTCAAGATAGTGCAATGAAGCTGGTACATGCTGAAAGATTGGGAGAAGCTTTTGATTCTCAGCTGGTCATTGGAGTAAGAGAATCTTATGGTATGTTCTAAACTCTTAATTCTTTGTCATAAAAATTCCAGGACAATTATAGTTTTGTCAGAGTTATGTTTATCAGCATATAAACTGACATCTTTTTTTGTTCCAGATGCTTTTAATAGTACACAAATGGTATTCATTATACTTGTTTTTTAGTTTCTTTTTTTAAAAAATTTTTAATTTTTTTATTTATGTGACAGTGGAATGAGTTACAATTCTTGTTACACATAAAGAGCACAATTTTTCATATCTCTGATTGTATACTTATTGTACTTTTAAGAAACCTGMAAAAATCATATTGATGTGTCTGTCATATTTCCTCCATATCATTAATTTCTTGACTGTTAATTTATGTATGTATTTATTTATTAGTACTAGAAATTAAAACCAGAGACACTCTACCACTATACCCCCAACCTTTTTATTTTTTTATTTTTGAGACGGGATCTCACTAAGTTGCTGTGGCTAGCCTGGAACTTGAGATCCTCCTGCATTATCTTCCTGAGTCACTGGGATTATGGGCTTGCATCACCACACTTGGTTGCTAACAAATCTTTTTAGTGACCTGAATTAAAGAAATGAGAATTTGGATGTATTTTTTAAATACATAAATTTTGAATGTAAATTTGCATGTGACTCATAAAAGGTAACTGCTTTTGTGTTTGTTTTCAGGAACTTACTTCACCCTGAACATTTYCTCTACCTCTTAGCTTCTGGCAGTATTTTCATTTGTATTTTCAATCATGTATATTGTTTCCTCTGACTTAGAATACTCTTCATCTTCTAATTCCTTTTTATACTTTGTTTCCTCATGGAGGCCTTTCCTAATTCACACACTAGGTTAGGTCCTATCACTTCATGTTTCATAGTATCTGTGTCTCCCTAGAATAATACTAAGTGTCTTGTTGACCCCGTATCTTTCTGTAGAATGCCTGACAGAAAATCACTCTCAACAAGCATTTGTTGAATTAATGAACCTTCATTTCTTTTTTGTTTTTTGTTTTTTGTTTTTTTTCATTTCTTACTCTTGCATTGTAATTGCACATAATAGTGGGATTCGTTGTTACATATTCATACATGCACATGATATAATTTGGTCAGTATTGTTCCCCCCAGTATTAGTGAACCTTTAGGGTGTTTTTGACTGGTTTTTCCCTTTTGCTCCCATATTTCTTTAGTATTATTTTATTGTTTTGTTTGTTTGTTTGTTTGTTTTTACCAACAGCATCCTGAATACAGACTACTTAGTTTGAGATTTGTGACTTTCCATAGCAATTCCTAATTTACCATTCTTCCTTATTTTCTATTAACCTTATAGTTGACTTAGACCACCTAGTCATTATAGCTTGTGCTTTTCTGCTTCCAAATATTATCTTACTAATCTGTCTATGCAAATTCTTATTTATTTTTTAAAATTCAATTTAAATCTAATCTGTTCTGCAAATGATTTCTTGATCATTGATTTAGAAATCAGTGTCTTTACTATTCCAAAACAAAGTAGTTCATATTCTTTCTTGTATTTGTTACTTAACTGCTTTGATCTTTTTAAGTTTTTTATGGAGATTTTTGTCTTATAAAGGATTTTTGTCTTAAACAATTATATGTTCTCACGAACACTGTCATCTTCCATATAATAACTCCTCAATATAAAGTAAAATTTTATTTTCTATTTTTCAGTTAACCTTTGTTCTAATCCTGAAGATAAGCTTCAGATTTATAGGGACAATTTTGAGAAGGCATATTTGGATTCAACAGAGAGATTTTATAGAACACAGGCACCCTCATATTTACAACAAAATGGTGTACAGAATTATATGAAATATGTAAGTCAGAACTTCATACATTTGGTAATTTGAAATGTTATCTTGATATTCTTGATAGTCTTAAAATGATTGCTATTTTGCTTCTGGACAGGCAGATGCTAAATTAAAAGAAGAAGAAAAACGAGCACTACGTTATTTAGAAACAAGACGAGAATGCAACTCTGTTGAAGCAGTAAGTAATTTTTGTAATTGTACATTTTATGAGATTATTTGAAGTACAATTGCATAGGGATGGCAAATACATGACACTATCTATCTTTTATATAATGACATTATCCTTTCTCATGTCTCTGACCAACCTTACTAATTGGTTACAGCATTACTAATTGTTTCCCAGTAAGTAAAAGCAAAGTTCCAAAAAGCACCTTATTCAGAACACATTGTTCCTCAGAGCTGGTGTGCAAAATAAAGCCTATTTGCCATCCCTGCTCTAAAKTTTACTGTATTTAATGTACACTACTTAATTTTTAATCAACCTCCTCTTTCTATACATTTCTAAAGGCAATCATTTTAGTGATTTTTCATGTTGCAAGTAAAATATACTTTTTGGGGCTGAGATTGAGGCTCAGTGGTAGAACACTTGCCTAGCATGTGTGAAGCCCTAGGTTCAATCCTCAGCACCACATAAAGATAAATAAAGATATTGTGCCCATCTACAACTAAAAAATATTAATACACACACACACACTCTGTCCTTGATATGATTCTCATTATTTTCAGTAGATATATTCTGTAAAGTGGCTGCAAAAACTGAATTAGTCATTATTGAATCACTTATTACCCCTTGGAGGCATTTCTTTTTGTTATTTGATGTAGGAACATCGACCTTTATTTATTATTTTATATTATATAATAAGTTCTTCATTTAAATGAGGTTGGTCAAGGGTTTTGTTTTGTTTTTAATACAAGAATTCATTAAAAAAAAAAAGAATTCATGTTAGCATTGCTTTAATAAGGAAGGTAGTAATCAAGTTTGGGAGAGTCTTGGAATGTGCTCAAATATAACAGTAGTATTTCCTCTAATTCCTTTCAGTATTTGGAGCCTGTGAACAAGATTTAAATTTACATTGACAAGACTAACATTTCAATTTGCCTATGACCAAACCATTTCTCAACTATAGATGAGATTTAGAAATGTTTTTATTTTGTTTTGTTTTACTTTACTTCTGGCTTTAAAATTTTTTTTTCATCTGTCTTGACTGATAGTCTTGTTTATTTTGGGGGGTGGTTGCTTGTTCATAACTGGCAATATATATCCTTTCAATGATTAAAATAATTTTAATACTGGCAAAGAAAGGCGAGGGTTGGGGGCTAACTTAGTGGTTGTTGTAGAAATTATTTGTTGAAATTTAAAGCTAGATTTGGGCTTTATGCAGAAGGCAGGGCCATTGAATGTTTTTAAATATGTGTGTCATGATCTGAGATGTCTCTCAGGAATTTAATCTGGTGATAGTAAAGATTAATTACTAAGGAGAATTAATTTTTATGGAGAAGGATTTTGTTTTAAATGGTTATATGTTCTCCCCTCCAGATTCATGCAAATTGCAAGATAATAAATGGGTGTTTAAACCAAAAAAAAAAAAAATGGTTATATGTTCTCATGAGCACTTTTATCTACCATTTAATATCTACTCAATGTTAACATTGCAATAATAAGCAAGGCATTAGGAGAACCACATAGGGTTATAATAATAGGGTTGGAAAGGATGAAGGTACAGAGGAAGACTTGCCACAGGTGGAACATTATGTCCTTATGTATGCAGCTATATATTGCAGAGAATCAAGCCAATAGCGTTTCAGAGGTTTCAGCTCAAGAGAATAGTGTTGCCACAGAGAGATTCCATATGAAAATTAGTCTTATAAAGATGAGTTCAGTTTTGGAAATTTGAGTTCTCTTAGTAGGTTTATATTCCTGTGGCATCTGAGTTGGTGTGTTACCATTTTACAAGGTGGAATTGTTCTGATCTTAATACCCCAGTGTTTCAAGTTTAGCTATATTATATACATTATATTTATGGCCATTCAACTATAAAGGTCCAACTRAGAGTAAGAAAATGAGACTGGGTCTCACTGAGTTGCTTAAGGCCTTGCTGAGTTGCTGAGGCTGGCTTTGAACTTGCAATTCTGCCTCAGCCTCCCAAGGCACTGGGATTATAGGTGTCCACCATTGTGCCCAGCCTTAAAACTCATTCTTACAGAAGAGTTCCACTCTATAAGTGTAAAAGGAAGTAAATAATCTCTGTTAGGCAGATTTCACAGTAATAATTGTTGCAGGCAAGCTCCACCAAGTGCATACAAAAATTAGTGACCAAAAGTTTGAAATAAAATAGATTTATTTTCATTGTTTCAAAGATCTTCCCCAAGATATTTACTAAAAGAAAAATAACTTTACAATGGAAAAACCTTAAAAATATCATCTTGGCCCATTGTCCCAGATGTGGAACACCTTTAAAAACTTTATTATATAATACACAATTATATAATATACTATAATTATATAATAATAATTATAAGAATTATTATATAGTATTGTGATATTTGTTTATACACACACATACACAAACACACATATAAGCTCTAGATTATGATTTCCAACCTATTTTAATATACCTGAGCCAATTTCATTGAAATATTACCAGAATTAAAAGCTTCAAACTTAAAATAGTTAACCAAGTAATTATAGTTAACATCACTAGTAATAGGACAAATTGATATTATGTATCCCTGGATGTCCTACAAAATAACTAACATTCTTTAAAAATGTCCAAAAAAAATGTCATAACGGACCAAACAGAGGACAAAAGAACTGTCAGATTGGAACAGACTACAAATATAACAATTAAATGAAATGTGTGCTTGAGGATTGGATTCTGCAATAGGAAAAGGACATTAGATAAAAAAAAAAAAAAAACAAACTTTGTCAATTTTCAAGTATAACATTGTATCAGTGATTTTTTTGTGATTCTGATTGTTATGCTATAGTTATGTAARATTAATGTTAGGAAAAGTAGAGTGATCAAGGTATGAGATTCTCTGTGCTATTGCAAGTTTTCTGTAATCATTTAATCAAAATAGAAAGTTTAAAAAATAAAGAATATTATGAAGAATGCCATCTTTTATTTGAAGGCATCACTGGAGATTACCATATGGTATTTTCCTTATTGAATGAATTTTTCAAATCATATTAACAGAATCCCTAACATTAAACCATTGTTCTACTTTAGGAGTGTTYCCAAAACTCACTTTTTYATTTATTTATTTATTTTAGTTGTCAATGGACCTTTATTTTATTTGTTTATATGCAGTGCTGACAATTGAACCCAGTGCCTCACACATGCTAGGCAAGTGCTCTACCATTAAGCCACAACCCAAAATCACATTAAAAAAATTTTTTTTCAGTTGTTGATGGACCTTTATTTTATTCACKTATTTATATGCAGTGCTGAGAATTGAACACAGTGTCTCACACATGTGAGGCAAACACTTTACTACTGAGCTACAACCCCAGCCCCCCAAAATCACATTTTTAAAAAAATGTTTATTTATTTAGTTGTAGTTGGACACAATACCTTTATTTCACTTACTTATTTTTATGTGGTGCTGAGGATTGAACCCATGATCTCGCATGTGCGAGGCGAGTGCCCTACTGCTGAACCACAACCCCAGCCCCGAAAATCACATTTTTAATGGATAAAAATTTACACTCTAAAGGGATTTTGACATATTCTATCTAGCCAGTAAAAGTTACTCCTTTGGGGTGGGAATATAGCTCAGTGCTAGAGCACTTGCCTAATATGTGAAAGGCCCTGGGGTTTAATTTCCAGCATCACAAAACAAAACACTCTAATTTTATATATGTAAAATGTTTAGATATTATATGTACCCAGAATCATATTTTAGAATCCTTTTATAAGTTTATCCTAATGAACTTTTATTTTCTTTTGCTTATGTTTAGTATAGCAGGTTCTGACAGATGAATCAGTGGAAAGTTAGTTATGCTATATGTTGTTTAGACATCTTGTCATAAACATGAAAGCAAGCAAAAGATAGGGTTAGAGTGGTGAGAAGATAAATTAAGGCTAATATCTTTGGATTGAAATCTCTAAGTCAGAAGTTTTCAGTGTGGGTAGTATTTACCTCCAGGGAGCATTATAAAAATGTATGGAGGCAATTTGTGATTATTAAAATGATTGGATAGTTAGAAGATAGGGGTCTAGGAGTGTAAATAAGGATTTGTGAATGCCAAGTGTCTCAGTCTTATATAAACAAGGCTTGGAGTCAGGCAATCAAATGTGTAACTCATCAGTACATACATAATACTGAGACCAATGATTTTTCATTACTTTTCAAAAAGTATGGTGTCCCACAGAAACAAGAATTACCCCACAGTYCAAATGACCTTAAAATGTCCCACTGGCCACTCGTCTAAGTGGAAATATCATTTTTACTTCTTGGAAAATAGAACTTAATTTTTTAAAATTTATAAATAAAAATATTTTTATATGATATTAATCTGCTGTTCTAGGGATGATRTTATTGTATAAATTGAGGAAAGATGTTTTGTTTGGAATCTTAAAATTTTTTTCACTAGAAGAAATTTATATTACCTGCAATGAAACTGCTTATGGTATTGAGTTAGCAGTGTACGTGTGTGAGATTCATTTGTAGTTTTCACATTCCCATTTGTGCTGCTTATAGGTTCAGATATTGGACTACTTTATGATCTCTTCTACTTTAGTTGTTGCCAAGTATTTATAGGTTGAAATATATATTGKCATCTTATAAAGTTTTTTTTCTTTGATTTCTCCTATATATTATAATTAAAGAATTATGTGGATGTTTCTGAAATGATATAACACATTTTAATATTTGCTATGTAAGAAAGTGTGGGTTTGATAGTTTTGAGAACCATTGATTTGGTGATGCAGAGTCTGGAGGATTCATCTGTCCTGGAGTGTATCTCAGTGTCTATAGAGAGGTAAGAAACTTGTTTTTAGCTGTCTTCAATGATATAATAAAGTTTCCAACTAGATAAGTGATGACAAAGGAATGGAGAGGAAAGGATATGAAAAGCATTTTGAAGAAGAATCAATAGATATTTTAATGGTTTAAAGGRTCATTCAAGATGATTGAAAGATTGCTTAAGTTATTGGATGAATCTGAGTAGAGTCA